GGCATTTTTGTTTTCAATAAGTAAATTATAAAGAAATTTTAATGAAATTATGTATAAGATCTTTAAAATTGTTTATAAAAACAATATATTAAGTATGTATATTAATAAAATATATGTATATAATTCATCGATTCGGTTATTTCTTCGGTTTTTACGGAATAAAACCATAACCAAACCAAATACTATCGGTTTTCAAAAATCTAAAACCAAACCAAACCAAACCCAAGTAAAATCGGTTTTATTTTATCGGTTTGGTTTGGTTTTTCGGTTTGGATCGGTTATCATTTTAAATTAAAATCAACTCAATTTAGTTGGTTCTTTTAAGTTTCTAAAATTAAACCAAATCAAACGAAAAAATAATCGTCGATTTTGGTTATTGTCGGTTAGGTTTGATTCAGTTTTTCTGTTTTTTCGATTTGAATGTAATAAATTTTTTGAATATCTCGATAGACATGAATACTCAATACATGAAAAAATCCACATCAAAGCTATTATCGGTTCAATTAAGTAATATTAGAGCTATTATTACACGAATAAAGTGATTCAGTTAAGAGAAAAATCCACATCAAAGATATTATCGGTTCAATTAAGTAATATTAGAGTTATTATTACACGAATAAAGTGATTCAGTTAAGAGAAAATATGTGTATTTAATTATGTGAGGTAGAGTAGGTAAAGAGTAAAGTAAAAGATTTAGATGGATTTTGATCTAGGATTGTAATAGTTGGATTAAAATTGAAGTGTTGAGCTTGAGAAAATGGTAAAGTTAAAGGCTTGACGTTAATTAAAATTTAATAAAATATTTATATTTTATTTATAAATAATATATAAATAATTATAAAATTTATATATCTAATCTATCAGTTCAATTTGGTTATTTTAAAATCAGACCAAATTGTATGGATTTTCAAAATTTAAGCCAAATCAAATATTAGTTCTTTTAATCAAATTTGTTCAGATTATGGTTGGATTTGATTATTAACCATAAACAGCCCTATATCCGAAAAAATTGAATGGTGAGACGGCTAAAACGAAGGATTAACCATCTCAATATGATTTTTATGAGAAAGAAACTTTACCATAATGGGGATGTAGCTCAGATGGTAGAGCGCTCGCTTAGCATGCGAGAGGTACGGGGATCGATACCCCGCATCTCCATTTTTATTTCTGGGCCCTTTCCATATTGGGCTCTCACTTCATTATTTTCGTATCAACGAACACAATTGTATCACTATTGTATTTCGTATTCATATCTATTTATATATGCATTTTGATGTTAGGTGTGTTTTGCAAATGTTATCATATGTATATGTATTTTGTATTATCGAAGAAGATATGTATAGTTTGACAGTTATCATTTATATTTGTATCATTTGTCCCTTTTTACGTCCATCGTGAAATAACAACATATTATTGGCATCTTCAAAGTTAATAATCTTTCAACTACTAGTTGGACCTAAAAATTTATCTTACAAGGCTTTAATATGTATTTTACCCTAAACTTAGTCAAATTATATCTCTCACACACATTTTAAACATTTTATAATTAATTAAGCTACTAAACTTTTCAAAAGCTTTGCTTTTTCGTCAACTTGTATTTGGTGCAGTGTTTGAACTCTATTATTTTTGTTCTTTTGCTTTAATTTGGAATAAAGTGTAGCAATAATTATTTTTAATTTGTTCGTGCTTTTATATATTTCACGTAAAAACATCAACCAAACAAGTAGAAGGAAAAGACAAGAATTATTTAGTTAGAAATATTATTATTTTTTAAGCCATGTTTCTGATGTCAATTAAAGACATATTTAGTTAGAAATATGATTATTTGACCATATTTTTAAAGTCAATTTTAATCTTATTAGGACAAGTTATTTGGCCGGTCAGTAGATATTAATTAAGTATAAAGTATATTGGTTAGCCAAATATAAATAAAATATATGCTATCATATGTGTCCATATGCACATTTATAAGGGGAAAAATTATTAATATTATTTTGATGGACGAAAAATTATTAATTGTTTTTTGATAGTTGAAAATGGTTGTTGAGTGCTTTTAATTATGAACATGCATACTAGAAAGGCTACAATTTAAATTAATTGGATAATAATGTTAGATTTCACTCTAATATTTATTTATATATTGTTCAGTATAGTTTTAGATAAAATATTTTATCATCAAGATTTAACATTTTTCACTAAGAAAATATATTTTACGTAGAAAGGATAGATGAGATCATTTACTAAAAGGGATAACCGATGAAAAATTCACTTCCCGATTCAAATGATAAATTAAAACGAGATTAAAATATTAAATGGCCGTAATTAAATGATTTTAATGAATCTGTACATATTGGTCAATGTAAACAAATAAATGAATAATTTAATTAATTAAAATATTTTTATTTTTTTAGATTCTTGACTTGTAAGTAATACTCCTTCCACCACACAATAGTTGTCATGATTTGCTTTTCAAAAGTTTATTTAATCAATATTTAAAGTTAAATTATTGAATTGAATTAATTTAAGATTTGAACTTTAAATATTTAAAAATTTATGAAAGATATTTTATGTTTTGCTTTTAAAAAGTTAGTTTAATCAATTTTTAAAGTTAAATTATTGGATTAAATTAGTGTAGGAGTTTGAAAATGATATTTGTATATTCAAAAATTATATGAACGATATTAAACATTTTGCTTTCCGAAAGTTAATTTAATCAATTTTAAAAGCTAAATTATTGGATTAAATTAACTTTTTAAGATTTTGAAATTTAAATTTAAATACTGTACGATTTTTTTAAAAAATTATTGTTTTCTTTTATTAATATAATAAATAAATATATTCTAATATATTAATTAAAATTTAAATAATTTAACTTGCGAAAGAATATTATGAAACGGAGGAAGTAGTAGCATGTTTTTTTTGTGGCACCGACAATTAGTGACCTTGACTAATGTTATATTTTAAAAGGACAAAATTAAAAGGATTTTAGATTTGGACACATTTTATAATTTAATTTGATGATGTTTTACCCAATATGTCCACAACCCCAACCATATATTAATTTGAATCATAATGTTCATGAAACATAAAGTAATTAAATATGTCCTATGTGGGGGTTATATCAACTTATGTTAATCATTTTATTTTATTTATTATTGATACCTTTTATTTTATAGTACTACTATTTTTTGTGAAGGATTATTCAATTTGAGTGGCCAAAAGAAAATGAGAAGAAGGATTAATCAATTTTGACTATTGCCAAATGATAATCTAACTAATTGCTCTAATTAGTATAATAAACCAAAGTCTAACAAAAAGAATGAATAACAAATACTATAAATGGTGCATGGGATGGTTATGAGTTTTTGAGGTCGAACCCTGCTAGTTATGAGTCATTTTTGCTTGAAAAAATATTAGCGTCTATTTAAATTTTGTCAAATTTTCATAGAAATAACGATTATCGAACAAAAACTTTAATAAAAAAAAGTGAATTAGTGAAGTATATTTTTTGCTACTTTTGAGTCATTTTATATATATAACTACGTTGCATGCATTTTTATTTTTAATTGCTACCGACAACTCAAAAATAGATTCAACTCTATTGATTGGTAAGCTAAGTGGGTCGAAAAAGAAGAAGATAAAAGTGATTTTTAGTGGAGAATTTTAAACATATTTGATGAATTTTGGACATAAAGTTAAATCCATTATTTTGGATATATTATAACTTTTCAGGTCAACATTTTAAAAATATTTGAATAAAATTTGAAATTAATTTTATCGTATGTTTAATTTGAGGCATTAACTAATTATCTTACATATCATTTATATTAAAATGAAAGAATTATTATCTCATAATAAAATATGATAAAATAATTTAATCATAAAATATACCATTTATGAAATATCCTTTGTTTATCTCATTCTGTATTTTAATGAATTTTTTTCAATGACCTAGACATGAAATATTTTTAGGAAGATCATAGACGGTTTATCTAAAAGCATTTATCAAGTTTTAATGACAAAATTAAAAGAAAAATGAGAAGAACGGTCTGTCAATTTTAGATGATCAAAGGAAGTCAAATAAATTATTCATGATGTGATGACCAAAAAAAAAAAGTTGGAATGTTATTTAAAGAAATAATGTTTATATATGTTCTCTCATTAGAGGTGAAATTAGAATAAACTTTACAGATTTTGAACTTGACAATTTTTATTTTATTTTTGGATCGTGTTGAAGATAAATACAAAATATAAGATTAATTCGTCCAAACATATTATATCACTTCATTTTTTTCTTGAGATTAAAAGTTTTAAATCATTTTAGTTAGTCAGTTTTTTTTTTTGAAAAAAAGATTTCAAATTCAATCCAAAAACCTAAAG